ATACACACATGACACATAAATACCTTATCCATATATATACACATAAATATGTACGTACATATAACATATAGGGAAAATACCGGCTATAATCAAATTTTGGAGGGTAATTTCAAATTTTAGACATGAAAAATGACTTTTCCGATTATAGACACGCATTCCGCGGAGGGACCTCTGCGGAATGATGAAATCTTCGCGGAGAGGGGTACTTTTGTAATTTCACCCTTTCATCTTTGACAAAAACGGTCCCCTCCTCTTTGGTCCCCCACTGGTCCCCGAATTCCTCTTGATTTGGAACGTTTTTCCGCATAGACTTCAAATCCGCCTTTATTTCCGTCAACGACTTGAACTCCGGCGACAACGACATAAGACGACGTCATTTTCCAGCGGCGACGACTTGAAATCCGACAACGATGGAGGGAAACTTCCCCAATATTTTTGTCGATGGATACGGCTCCAGGGTATTTCTCGCATTCCCCTCTTTTGATTAATGTTGTATCCTATGTATTTATGATTCAAATGTTAGGAAATTTCAATTGATTACCGTGTATATATACATATTTAGATTTTGTAGATGTTAGGATTAATAGGGGGCATTCAAATTTTGGGAAGATCCATTCCGCGGAGGTGTACGTCATTCCGCAGAGGATCCTCCACGGATTGATGCATTCCCTCCACGGAATGAATAATACCACAAAAAGAAGAGTCTCCACGGAGGTGTGTGTCACTCCGCAGAGGGGTCTCCGCGGAATGACCTCTAGCCTCTGCGGAATGACATTAAATTGGTTTTTCCACCATTTTTTCTACCCATTTATAACTTATTTATTATTATATAAAAAGTACGTTGCTATTTATTTCATAAACCGAATTAGAATAGTTATTTTGAAACCTTGTTTTTATTTTCAATTACTAACGTTTTATATGAAATTAAATGTATATGTTTTGTAGCACGATGATCTCGATCAAAAAGCAGATTTAACTATAAAAGGCGTGGTGGGTACGATCATTAAAGACTATTTTCCGCACCTAACACAATCACAACGAATATTGTTTGAAGCTTCGCTGTTTGGAAAATTCTTAGGAATGCATATCCCCCATGTTGACCTCTTACTTGTGCATTTGATGATGTTGCGTGAAGTAAGGTCTCAACAACTGTTTGAAATGGGGAGGTTTCATTTTAAGATAGAGGGGATGCAGTTGGATTTTGGTGAAACTGAATATATTTTGATTTGTGGTTTAAAAGTTGGTCCTTATGTGGATTTTCTCTATGAAAAAAGAGGCCGGTCAAATTCAAATCTTCGTGCTTGGTTGTTCCCAAACATTACAGATGCACGTTTGCGCTTGAAAGATTTAGAAGACTACATTATGTGTCCGAATTATTTGTCACTTCATGATGAAGATGCTGTAATGCTTATCCAACTTGTTTTTATGTTGAAATGTCTCCACAGACGAGACGTTAAAACAGGAATTCTGTGACAACCGTCAAATTCAAGTCAAAGTCAAAGTCAGCAAGTCAAACCGGTCAAACTTAACTAATACTCCTATGTTAAAAGTTATTCTATGAAAATGTACATTTGTATGTCGAGAATTTAAGTGTCTCGGATATTTTATGTGTTTAAATATGTAAAACCCTAAGAAGGGAGTTAAACGCATCAAAACACGACTATGGACCCTTTTGGGGACTTAAAATAATCTTAAACGAAGCATAACGGGGTTCACGAACCTTGCATTGCGAAGCAATACAATAATATTGACTAAAAATAAATCTCTCCCAAATCTCTCTCAACTTTTTATAGTCATCCGAGTCATCCCGACCCTTAACTTGGCCAAAAAATCACTCAAAACGGGAAGTTAAATTGAAAAACAGCTAAATAGGGCCGAAACCCCTATGAACCGAACCCATAGGGACCGAACCCTAGGGAACCGAACTAGGAGAACCGAAGTGCCTATAACCGAAGGTCCCCTTCAGGACCGAGGTCAACTCAGAACCGAACTTAACCAGTCTCGGACCGAAACCTCTTTCAAACCGAAATGAACCGAGCCTTCGGTCCATTTCGCTTCCTTCTTACCTTCGGACCCGAACTCACCTTCGCTCCCATCACCTTCGGACCCGAGCCCTCCTTCGGTTCCTTCTTCTCACTCTCGGTCCTCAACTCCAAGAACTGAACCCTCGTAGGTTCGCCCCTTCTTGTCCGGTTTTCGACAACTTTTGCCTGTTAAGCCCGTTTTTGACGAGGATTTTTCACCAAATTCATATTTTTATCATTTTAAACTCCCTAAAATCATATTTTATTCATATCTCAAGGATTTATTAATTAAAAATCATTATTTTACGTTAAGAGAAATATCTAAGGATATTTTACCCCACAAGTGGGTCACGTGTCCCCACTTGCCTCCATGTGTCACTTCCTCATTAGTCCAATCCTATCCACATCACACAAACCAAGGCAAACATCCTCTCAACTTTGAAAATTGCTCCAACAAACTTCTATATAAAGAAATCCCTGGAGGATTTCTTGGCTTACTTTGATCAATTCCAAACTTTTACACTTCTCTTACCCTTCAAGAAAGCTTCTTTTCTCTCTACTTCCAGCCACTTTTTGAAGGTGTTCTTGAGCTATTACTTCACTTTTTGGTAAGTATTCCATCTAAACTCAAGTGTTATTCCATGTTTTCTTAACATCCTTGAATCATCTACACACATTTTAACACCAAAAATCGTTCTTAGGATCATCTAAAACTTCGTGTGTTCATCAAGTGTTCTTGACTTGATACTTCTCATCTTCAACCTTCCACTCTTCAAGTGATCACTCAAGGTGAGTTCATACCCCTACATTTTCCAGTTTTCTTTAGTTTTCAGGGGGGGAATACAAGTTAAAACACCAAAACATATTTAAAACTTAACTTGACAGCTTACAACAAAAAAGTTGTGACCTGTTAACGAACTGTTTTACCCAACTTAAACTTAATATTTTTCAAAACTGTTTAATATGAAAATAGTTCAGGTTTATACCTTTAAAATGACTACTCCATACGATTTTTATACAATTTATTTTACAAAACTGCCTATCACTGCAGCAACAAAATCGGACCAGGCTGTGAAGTTGAACATTTACACACTGGTTTGAGACCAGAAAAAATTATAGGAAAATTTATGAATACATTAGACTCCTTTTCCAAACTCTCCGAGTTTACGGATTCAGTTTTCGACTTACGATGATTTTTCTATAAATATTCTAAAACAGGGACAGTTAAGGGTGGAACTGTCAAAACATGTTTAAGAGTTATTCACACCTTGTAACATGCTGAGCAAGGTGTGTAAGATTTACACTTAGTATATTCAATGTCATTTTTATTGAAATACAAAGTCATGCATCACAAGGTTTCATTAAAACATAAAACACTCTTGATAAACTATAATAGGTATAGTTTTGAACACTTCGTTTAACAAAGAAATAGTCACACAATCGATTTACAAAACGGGTATTTCATTACAAACTACGTGAACTTGTTAATGAATAAATTTGTGAGACATTCACCTTCAGGGTACTCTTAAGTACCACAGAAAAGTCTTGTAGTTATAATCAGAATCTCTTGGAGGGAGAGCGTGATAGTTGTGTATAGATCTATATCGGGTCTGACAAACCCGCACCTAAGCTGCTTGCAACAGCTAGACCGGCAGGTCTGGGGTAACAAATGTCATAACATTCCGACGTCTGAAGAACGTCGTGTACGAGGCCTTCGAGTTTTAGCATGGTTATAACAACTCACATGGGGAATTAACAAAACACAGTTCACGGGGATTTAAGAATTCCACAAAAAGGAGTTTTATTTAAATATAAAACCACACATAAGAATGACGATTTACTTACATATACTAGGTCTTGGTTCAGTTAAGACTACAACAAAACTTTTAGAAAATATTGGATTTTCTGGAAACAAGCTTGTAACAAACTTTAAGGAACAACATCCATTTTTCATTCGTAAATTGCTTATGAACTCACCAGCTTTAATGTTGATACTCTTTCAAAAACACCTTGTATTCTCAGGTATTCAGTAATACAGGTAACCACAAGATTTTTTAAGGCAAGACGCTAAGGCGCAGATTTTTGCAATATTTTGACATCATATGTAATTTATTTGGAAACATGTATTTTTGCAACGATGTAACCTTTTAAATTATATATGATGGTTGTGTTTACTTTCTTCACTATGGTTATGATACTGAGCATGACGTCCTTCGCCCCCGAACGTTTCCGCCGTTCCGGTTTGGGGGTGTGACAAATTCCCATGACAGTATACAAGCTTGTTGATAATATAGAGGATTGAAACACGTATTACATTTAAATATTGTAAATAAACACAATAATAATTATAATAAATAAATTGAAAATTACAGGTTTGCATGGGGTACGTATTTCTATACGTATACTTCGGGCTTGATGCGTGGAATGTTTGATAAAATAGAAAAATTTAGACTATTCAAGCAGGCAAATCCCGAATCCAAGAAAGTACACAAGTATACCGTTGCTGGTTTTATGCTTCCGTTCAAGGTTAGTTTCTAATGCATTTAAATAGTTATCATACTTTTGTGTTTTATACGATAATAACATTGAACTTCAGATTGTAGTATATAATACCGTTGTATTTTCATTTTTATACTATAATAGCATGATACTTACCTTTTTTTCCATAGATATGGATTTTGGAGACGTTCCCAGAGGCAACCCAGTTTTATATATGCACGTCGACAGAATTACCACATATGAGGTCGTGGAGAAGTAAAACACCGTTATCTTGGCTTCAATGTCGTCGAATAATCAACGTGTTTGTGGTATGATTTTTATATTAAGGATTATATATAATTACAAATTCCAATGTTTTTCATGTTAAACTAACAATTTGATTTTTGCAGCCTAACAACCAACCTATTTCTGTCGTGGCAAACCCGACGGAGTTGATGTTGCCGTTTTATATTTGTTACGTCAATTGGACTCTTAACCATGAGGAGTCTCCCCCACGGAAACATAGTCCGGTCCCACATAGTCCACCTATTGTTGCCTCGCCTCCTCGAAGAAAGAAGTACAAGGCGGAAACATCTTCGACTGAATCTGTCACAAACGCTTCTTCCTCGCAACAGCCTGAAGTCAGAAAGAACTTATATGTCAGTTGACACATCAACAAGGTCGGTAAAGAAGAAGAAGACAAGCACAAAAGCATTAGTGAAGCGTCTACTAGGCGTTGTGGCTGACTTAACTTCTAAAGTGGATCGTGTATTACAGAAAAAAAAAAGATGAACCAGATACAGGGTTTGGAGAGGAGGATGAGATGGTAAATGAAGAGGAGGAAGAAACATTTTACCATGGTACACAGTTGGACTATGCTGATATATCTACTCATGGTTTGGAGGGGGAAGTTGGGCGTACACCTACGCATATTGAGCCATCACCGGACGTGGGTGAACATCACAAAAAAACAGTGACTCCTATTGTTAGGCCACAACGAAAGAGGGGTGTTGCATGGTATCAGCAGACGCCATTCACAGTGGTACAAAACTCATATTTTAAATTTGGTGTATTTATAAAATATTATGTTGTTGATAATTATTTAACATGTTAATTTTTTAGATGCAATCCACACCAAAATTGAAGAAAATCATCAAAACAAGGAAAAAAAAAGCAGTGAAGAGTCCTGAAAAAGCAAATGAAGACATTGTGAATGAAGAGAGGAATGATGTTTCAAATCATCTCCTGTTGGACAGTCTTCATGCTACTAGTACATTGAGTTTTTGGAAAGAATGGAATATGATATCTTCTAAACTCAACACTAAACACAGGCTGCATATACTCCCACTGGATGTGGAGTTTTGGTCGATGTTACTTGCAGTTACTGACTCTGGGTGGTTAATTTCTTCGGTAATATTCGTTAAATTTTAACTATTTTTTAGACGATAATTTATATAAATAGTTGTAATATTTTTATCTTAAAATGTACATCATATTGCGATATGGAGTGCCTTGCTCATGGAAAGACGGCCGGCGAACGGAAGGTGGACGATATACCCTCAAGAATCAATTTGCAACTCGGAAAATCATTTTTTTAGGAATGTAGCAGATGGTGTTGGAGGCTATCCTAAATGGAAGGATGTGGACATGGTTAGTGGTACATTTAAATACTTGGAAAATATACATTAATAATTATTTATTTATATATATAATATTACTAAATTTACGATTATTTGTTTGTAGGTTCTATTCCCTATAAACGTTCTTGGTGTCCATTGGTTTTTGGCAGTGCTACATTTAAATATCTGGAAAGTACACATTTATGATTCAACACGATCTATGAATTTCTTCTCAAAGTACTTGATGGGTGGAGAATTCACAAGTTTTAATGATAGTATTATCTCAGAGCTAGATGTGATTGACTATTGGAACGATTTCCCCGATGGACACAAAGCCAAGGCAACTATTCAGTTTGTTGATACTGTAGACGCGCCACATCAGGAATATATTGAAGATAGAGGGGATTGTGGAGTATTTGTACGCATGTTTATGGAAATGATTGTTTTAGGGGTACAGGTGAAGATTGATAAGCCACATAGAGATGCGGTATTTCTCTACAGAAATAGGATGAAAAATATTATTTGGGATACTTTATAACTAGATGTTAGGAACTGTGTAAATATTAATATGAAATACCTGTTTTTAATAATTTTGTTTAATACAAATATGTGTTTTATTTATTTTTGTTATTATATTTGTTTCATGGACTGCCAAGTCACTTTCGCAGACAGTAATTTCATTATAAAATGACTCAAAAATGTGTATCATTTCATCTAATCTATATCACTTCATCTACTTTGTATCTTTTACAGTGGGTTCAAACTCATGGACCGCTGAGGAGTATTTGCTTCTAACTCGTGCATATACCTTCAACATTGACACTGAAACCACCTTAAAAAACCATCGCAACATGCTTGATATAGCAGAAAAATGGTATGAATTTGAAAACAAAAGTTGTGTTATTCAACGATATTTATAAGAAGATTGATGACGCACATGTGAATGACACTGAGGAAGACATCGTGGAGGCGGCTAAAGAAGAATATAATTCCATTAGCAACGGAGAGAGTGTCGACTATGAAGCCCCTTGGAATATTTTGAAAAATCTCCTGTATTTTTACCTAGTATTGCGGTTGTATGGCTTTATTTATATGTAATATGGTTGAGTTTTTATTTGCGTTTTTATTATATTATTTATCCTTTAATTTTTGAAACATAATGCACCAACAAATATTATGATACATCGAAACAAAAAACATTGAGTCCATCCATTTACTAACAAATAACATAAAAAAAATATTACAAATAACATAAAACATTACAAATGAAAGAGTCGTCTACATGAAAAAAGGTTTATTTTTAACGAGATTCCAAACGTCTATATACTCGAAATCATTTCCATCAAACTCGCACAAGTAATATCCGTTCACGTCTTCAAAAAGTTCTTCATCATTTGCATGAGAGCGTCGCATTTTCTCATAATTGTAGTAACGATTGAACCATGTGACTTTAGTCTTTAAATTCATCCATTTACTAACAATATTGGGTTTTATCTATTCTTGTCCTTGTCCTACCTCATGGTTGAACAACGCTATTAGGCGGGACCATTCATCACCAACAAGGCAATGAGGGGGAGCCATTACTGGTAGACCCTTGTAAACAGTTATCCAACAATGTGTTAGGACTAACACCTCTGTTGTCGTCCATGGAGATGTACCATTTGTTGCAACTGACACATTTTACGGATTTGCTGCAATAGAAGAAATTGGAACATTGGACGCCATTTTGTGAAAGGATCCCTTTTGTGGATAAAAGATGTGAATTTCATATAGATACAAGCTATATTATATAACAAGATAGGTTACGCGGACTGCCAATTTAGCTATGTAGACTGACAAGTTAGTTATGCGTACTGTCAAGATACGTTACAAGGACTGCCAATTCAGCTATGCGGAATGACAAGTCAGTCTTGCGGACTGTCAAGTCAGTTATGCGGACTGTCAATTCAGTTACGCGGACTGCCAATTCAGGTATGCGGACTGATAAGTCAGTTATACGGACTGTCAAGTTAGTTACGTGGGCTGTCAATTCAGGTATGCGGACTGACAAGTCAGTTATGCGGACTGTCAAGTCGGTTACGCGGACTGTCAATTCAGTCACTCAGACTATCAAGTCACTTACGCGGACTGGCAATTCATTTACTTACGAAGACTACCAATTCTGTAACTTATGCGGACTGACAAGTCATTTCCGCGGATCGCCTAAACAGTTATGCGGAATAATGAATACAAATTCCTTTTAAAATTGGACAACCATTTTCATTTTTGGAAGGTGTCAAAAGTTGTGAAAATGAGTTCAGTCAATGAGGTATTCAAAAAACGTTTCTCCAACCTATCTATTTTTTTTTCATAATATGCAAAGAACCAATCCAAACACCTGCACGTGCATTAAGAAAGATTCATACAATCATTTCCAATTTTGTTTTGTGGCACTGGGATGCGTGGTATGTAATCCTTTATACTAAATATTTTGTTATTTGAAGTTCTTATATAGCTAATATTATTATCTTTACTTGCAGATTCATACGTTTCTCACGTCTATGATACCAATCATATTCGTTGCTCACATACCTCTAACTGGAATGCACATAACATACATGTACATTGCGGTTGCTTTTGATGGAAATCATGAACCCCTTCTCATAGCGTTTGCTTTGGGAACCATAAACTGTGATGAGTCATGGTTATGGTTCATGAGGAGGCTTAAAGAATGTTTAGGTGATAATACGAAAGTTGGTTTCATAAGCCATTTGTCTGATTCCATAGACTTTGCAGTTAAGAGAATCTACCCTGATTCATATCATGGCTATTGTTGTAAAAACATAGCTGAGAAAATACGCGCTTCCACCGGAAGCAATACAATTGTAGAGCAGTTGTTCTGGAAGACTTGTAAAGCATATAATATGTCTGATTTTTATGCACGTTTGAAAAACTTACAAAGTGAGGTGAATGGGAATGATCTTGAGTGGATTGACAATATTCCCATTGCAAAATGGGTACGTGATTTTTTCCCTAAAGTACATTTCAATGTTAAATTCATTGACACTCCCGATGTTGTCAATTGGATAAGAACAAACAGGCATGAGTTATTAATAGAGTAAATTACATGAATGGTCCCTATGGTTTAGGGTAATTTGCACATTTGGTCCCTATCTTATTTTTTTAACTCGAAAGGTCCTTATTATTTGTTTTTGTTACGCTCTTGGTCCCTGTCTTACCTAAAAAATACTATTTTTCCCTTGATTTTTTAATTTATTTAAATAAACACACCCCCAACCCCACCCCTCACCTTACCTTAAATACCCCATCATTTTTTCCTATTTAAATAATAGTCTTTTTAGGTAAGACAAGGACCAAGCACGTAACAAAAACAAACAATAGGGACCAAGTGCATTACTAAAACAAACATTAGGGACCTTCCGAGTTAAAAAAATAAATTAGGGACCAAGCGTGCAAATTACCCCAAACCATAGGGACTATTCATGTAATTTACTCTTATTAATAACAACAATCATTCAAATGGTCCATGACTCGATGCATGGAGTGTATGTTCAACGTGCTGCATTCGGAGGTAATTATACATTATGACATCATTTAAATGGTCAAATGATATGTTATTACACATTATGACATCATAATTTTTATTTTATGTGATTCGGTTAATTTCACATGGGATTTTCATGGTCTTCTAATCCCTTATGCACTTAAGGTGCTTCAAAAAAGATTTATCCACTCCGATGGTTGTAGGGTTAGACATATTGTTGGCGACAGATATGAAGTGGGTAAGTATTTAACCACCGAATCCCTGCAATTTGACCGTGGTATTTGTAGTTGCGGGAAATGGCAAAAATGTGGTATACCTTGTGAGCATGCTATAGCATCACTACAAAAGCTTCAAATTGAAGAAATCCAGCAAATGGTAAATTTGAAGTTAAGTATCGCGGTGTATCGAAATAGTTTTCAAACTAAGACGGTCAATCCTATTCCAATCCTTATGCATTGGAAACACCAGCTGAAAGTGTTGTCGTCTTACCTCCACGACAATTTACTTGAACTGTAATGTATAGATGACAACGAATATTAGTTTGTATTCAGTTCTATGTTAACCTTAGTTTTGGTCTGTTGGCATTGTTTAGTTTTTAATAAATAATTTTTACCTTTTAATAAATACTTGTAATGTATGGATGACAACGAATTGACAAACAACTCTGCGGACTGACAAACAGCTCTGCGGACTAACAAACAGCTCTTTGTGGAGTTGAAGGGTCTATATATTGTCATAGATGATCGTTAAATTTTCAGTAAAGAGTTACAAATTATTTTGAATTTTAATATGAGTTCATCTTCTAATTTCTATATTTGCTCGTGCAACAAACTTGATTGTTACTACTGTGATCTGATCGACCCTTTTCTTGCCCCATCACCAAACATGAGAGAGTTGTATATGTCTGATGATACTTTGCAATAATTACAATGGGCTGAAGAACAACAAAAAAAGATAAAGAGTCATCTCAGGCTCTCACTGAACGTCGTGACCTCATTACGGCAGAGTGCAAAGAGGTTGAAGAAAGGATGCAGATTAATAAAAGAATCAAAGATCATGAGGAATGGATAAAAAAACTAAGATAACTATCAAAATTACTGAAAAATGCCTGCTGAGAAATATGCATAAATGATAGATCTTGGGCGGAAAAAAGACCGTTTTAAAGATAAAATAAGAATTAGGGACGACTATATAACAATGGAGAAAGATAAGTATCCATTGTAATAACCTTAAGTTAATTACTGTTTTTGTACGTTTATTATGTGTTTTTGGTTTGTTGTATGTATTATCTTTGAGTTTTAGTTATTACTCTACTAGTAATGATGCCCTAATATAATCATAATACTACCCATAATCTTTAAAGTAACCACACTATGACAACCCGAAATTTTTTTTGATTTTAAAGCCCAGTCAATCAACTCAATTGAGTGTCAAACTCATTAGTTCTGAGTTCTAGCCCGGTTAAAGGTCATTCTAAGGAGTTTTGAGCCTAATACACTTAAGGATTAAGTGTCGGAAAGTACCTGCTAGAACCACGGTGTAGCAAAGCAAACCTAAACCTCATCTAAATGAGTTCACAACCACAAGACCATGAGTTTACGGCCGTAAACTCATGTGGCCGTAAACTCAAGTGTATATAGGTGAGACTTGGCCATTTCTAGTCATTATTTCATTCCTTGGCCGATTTTCCTTCAAATCCTCTCAAGTATCATCAAGACTTTCTTCCAAGATCTTCACATAAGTAAGTATTCTTCCTAGATTTCTTGATAAATATCTTAATCTAGTCTTCTTCCATGATTTCATCCATAAGAAATCACTCTTTTCATAGATCTTCAAGAAACATCAAGAACACCAAGAACACACACTAGTGTTCTTGGCCAAAACCGACCATTTCAAGCTTCAAGCTTGTAAGTACTCCTTCCTGCACTTCATATCTTCTAGTAAGCCTTGAATCATGCCCTTGAAACATGCTTTTCCCAAGAACATCATGAGTTTACGGCCCAAGATCTTCCTTGGCCGTAAACTCAATGTTGAAGCATGTATG